GCCCGTCAAAAACCTCACTCTTTCACATACTCGAGGTGGTATTGTCATCAATCACCAAAAAGGGGGAGATTGAAAGCATCTAGGCCCCTAGTTGAGTTTAGGTGATTAATGACAATACAAGATTACTATGACTAACGTGTGTTTTGCAGAGGCAATTAAGTTAGGTCATGGTAACGAAGATCGATTGGGCAATCAAAGTTGTCATGCCCCCTCAATGGAAATCGTTTCGGTTTTTAAAGGATGGATGACAAGGTTAAGGATGACTAGTTCTAAGTGTCGATTGGAGTTGGAGAAACACTTAGAGTAGTTTAGGACTTTGTTTTTCCTTTGGCCGTTCTATTAAGGGGGGTATGGATGGGTAGCTTGACCTAGTTGAGTCTAGTGAGTTAGGTGTGGTGCACACTTGTCAAAACTAGCTCTAGGTAGCTCCTATGAATGCCTAAGATCCTTTGGAGCAAACTTCATTCACATATGTTCGGAAGTTGGAAGTGAATGGAGGGTCAAACACTGACCGGACGCTGGCCCCGGTGTCACCGGACGCTGGCCGCAGGGTCCGGTCAGTTCATTTGATCAACGTTTATGTTCGGTGTGACCGGACGCTGGAGAGGTCAAGTGACCGGACGCTGAAAGGCAGCGTCCGGTCGACTCCAGTAAGGTTCCAGTGAAGGAAATCTGCGACCAGACGCGTCCGGTCAGTACTGACCGGACCCTGAGGGTTCAGCATCCGGTCGAGTCCAGTAAGGTTCCAGTAAGGGTTTTATACGACCGGACGCGTCCGGTCAGTTCTGACCGGACCCTGCCAGCGTCCAGTCAATACATTTTTACTGGTTCACGGGTTGAACTGACCGGAGCGTCCAGTCACCCCGCAGAAGCTCATAACGGTTCGTTTTTCAAGCTGCCTTAAATAGAAGCTTCACTCGTGTGTGGAGTCACTTTTGCTCATTCAAACAGCTGAGAAACACGTTTGTGAGTGCCAAGAAGAGCAAGGTCCTAGTGAGGTGTTTGTGATTTGAGAATCCAAGAGTGAAACCTCATTAGTGAATCAAGAGTAGACAAGTGTGCATCCATCTTCTCATTAGGCTTTGCATGGTCAAGTGAGAGTTCGTGCTTGTTACTCTTGGTGATCGCCATCACCTAGACGGCTTGGTGGTGATTGGGAGCTTGGTGTTCACCCGACGGAGCTTGTGGGTGACCCAACTCAAGTTGTGAGCGGCTTTGGGTGATTCGCCGCAACGGAGTGTCGAAGAATCAACCCGTAGAGAGCACTTGATCCTTGCGCGGATCAAGGGGGAGCTACACCCTTGCGCGGGTGCTCCAACGAGGACTAGTGGGGAGTGGCGACTCTCCGATACCTCGGCAAAACATCGCCGCGTTCCTCTCTCCATTTACCTTGAGCATTTACTTTAAGTATTTATTTTGAGCAATTCAATACTTGTCTTTACATTCATAGAATTGCCATGCTAGAGTAAGTTTGGAACATAGGTTGCAAGTCTTTTGTGTGTTAATTTGATAGAAACACTTTTCTAGGCACAAGGGGTTAATTGGGCTATCCGTAAGATTAGATTATTGCAATAAAATTTAGAATTAGCCCAATTCACCCCCCTCTTAGACATCTTGATCCTTTCAGACTGGTTGTATTAGGCCTTCTTGCTACAGTAGTCTACAGTATAGAAAAAACAGCCCAACGCCTAGGGCCGTGGCCCTAGTGGCCCCAGGCCTAAATCCGCCACTGTTCGCCCTACCTCTATTTTCCGGCTGGGTCCGCCACTGGTAGTAACGTGGGCCACCGGCTGATAAATCGAATACACATCGGAAAGGCATCGGCATCTCAGGCTGACGCCACCGGCCACTCATCAAATCGAAGCCACCGTTGACTCAATGAGCTAGTTCGCTGGTCTGGTTTTTCCTGACCAGCCCGCTACTCCTCCTCACAAAACACTCCTCACAAAAACACTGTTCATTAACCATTAACCAGCCGCTATACGAGACGCAAGACCAAATCGAGATCCAAACTTCATCGAGACCAAGCCGAGGACAACCATAGATCGAACCGTGTCTACCACGCAAAAACCGTCTTAGGTCGCCATATGCTCCGCTAGCGTTTGCAGCCCTGGTCAACTACCAAGCAAGGCAAAACAATCAGAAGTGAAATATGGAATCAAAGATCCATGCATTAGAAGTCTACATATGCTTGACGTACGAGGAAAAACACGGACCTAACCAATAATAACTTGGAAGACAGTAAAAAAACTAGAAGAGAGAGGATCAAAGATAAAAAAAAAATCAGACTGTGTCCATTCTCAGCCTGTTCGGTTGGCTGGTTCATATCGTTGCTGTTTCGTGAAGAAGTACTGCTGGCTGGTTTATGTGAGAGAAAAATACTGTTCCGACTGAAAATTTACGATCGTTTACGATAAGCAGCAGCCAAACGAACAGACTGTATCTATCACCAAGATGAACTCCAGAAAACTGAAAGCCCGAATATAGGAATCGAAAAATCCCCCAAGAAACCATCAATAACAGCCCGAATAAACACCTCATATTAAATCAATCTTGCTAGCTCATAATACCCCAAGAATCCAGTTCTCGGACAGGAAGCACCCACCTTTCGAGTACGAACAAGATTACAAGACAATGAAAGGATAACGTTAGGGTTAGCTAGCTTATATACGTATGACATGAATTGGGTCTTCACTGCCTCTATGGGCTGATAGGCCTTAAGCAGCTTTTCTTTTGTACGTACGTGCTCTGGTCTGTTTAGATTTTTACTTCCTTCAACGTCACCTCTCCCTCTGGAGTTTCTTTTTGTGCTTAGTGTCGTCCGTTCTCAAACGCACATTTGGCGATGATAAGAAGCCCAATTCCTATAAATACTAGATCCCGTAGCAACACACGGGCATATATTTGCTAATAATGTTAAAGAGGTAAAATTTTTGTCATATATTTTTTGTCCAGCCTACCCTCCCGAGTTCTTTTTTTGCTCATCAGCATGTCTGCTCTTGGTCCGCTCGGTGATTGTGTTTCCATTTTTTTTTGTGTGTTACCATTTCTTTCGTTTCATTTTTGTTTGGCTCAGCTTCTGTTTGTGTTTCCTTTTTTTTTTTCGTTTCTATTTCTCTTTGTTCCACTCGGTGATCAGCTCGGTTTATGTTTTCTAAATTTTTTTTTGTTCCGCTTGGTTTTTCTGTTTGCAATTTTTCTGTTGCTCTCGGTTTTTTTGTCTGGTTTTTTGACCGCCTGTTCCTTCTCTACGGTATTTTCCTCGTATGAATGTTAGAAACAAATAATAGAGATAATATTATAGGATCGTATGAATGTTAGAAACAAATAATAGACATAATATTATAGGATCGTACTCATCGGAGTATTTATGTATACATATCCATCGGAGCAGCCGCGGAGTTGAATTGAACACCCGAATCGCCAAAAGTCTAGTTCACACGTCGTACACGAGCGGTGGTTGTGTGTATTGACTTCGTTCTTAATTGTTGCAACATGAAGTGATTAGTACTATTAATCTGCAACGTCATTTTCTTTCTACATGCATACATAATACTCCATACTGCTGCTGCGTTAGCTGCTGGCAACCAGCTAAGCTATAAGGTCAAGTGTCCGATTCAGTAGTGACGATGAATGGCACGAATCACATGCTGCATGCATGACTCCCGTACGTCCCGTTTGTTTCTAGCTGCAGAAACATATATACTACAGCAGAACATATGTGACACTGACAGTGGCGTGCAGGCGACAGAAAGAATCGTGTTTAATTCTTATTAATTTTTACAACATCTTGTCGGCCGGCAGAAGGTCATCTTTTTCCCTCCTTCCCTTTATATTTTGCAGATAAAAGATATTTAGATTCTTTGAATACTATTACACACTAAAATAGCATAGAACAACAGTAACATATTTGAAAATACTAAATAAACCATTACAATTAGGTGGACCATGCAATTTGTTTGTGGCTAGCAAAATATATTTACAACTCGAAGAGATAGTTTTATTTTATTTCTCATGTTGGAAAAAAGTCCATTTAACTGCTCTCTCGACAATTTACTTTATCATCTGACCTCCTATGCACAATAACAACTTGAGATACTCCACTGAGCTATTCATGTTGAAATATAAAGTTAATTGCCCAGCTTCCCCATCACCTTAAGCTCTTAGGTTGAACAGATTGTGCAACTCAATATGATATCAAAGCCATATGCCTCGAGTTTGAATCCTAGCAGGCAAGATTAAATAAAAATAATTGTTGTCTGCTTCTATTCCACGTCTAAGGCGTAAAAGAGTCTCCACGTGTTGGGGAGTGTTAAAATATAAAAACTTCCCTCATCAGCTTAAACTTTTGTGTGTGAATTGGTTGGAGCATACAACTCTGTAATTTAGATAGATCAAATTCATTAGTAACGAAGTTTGACACATGCACCTATGTTAGGAAAAAATTACCTCATATCTAGTGTTCTAACCGACAATTAATTATGAAGATTATGTAATATTTATAATGAACATAGGGTACAATGTCAGCTATCACACAAAAACTTGAAACTAAAACACAGCTTGTTAAAAAGATAGAATTCATTAGATGTTATTTGATCCAATTTGAAAAGTTTGTGGGAGTAAATTGAACCTTCACCATATTGTAGTATTATTCAGTTCAGATTATGCATACACGTCCATGAATTAAAACATGTCGCATACTATTTGTGGTGATAAAAATATAGTAAATTGTACTCCTACTTAATTGTTAATTGGAGACCATAAGAAGCACAAAACCTATATTTAATGACAGTAGGGGGTGTACAATTCTAAGAAAAACAAAGACCAACAAAGGGATTGTATTTTTTTGATCTTTCAATGTGTTTCAGTACTATTTAACATATATACATCCACATTAGTTTATGCACAATGCTTATTAGAATTTGTAGAGCTGATATGATGGAAACAAAATCGATCAGTTTCTGTTCTGAAAAGCTTGTTCATTGTTTTTGCTTTGTTAGGTGCCTGATCATCATTGATGGCCTGCAAGAAAAAGGAATGTGGTACGGTATACGGGGTGCCTTGGCTGAATCTCTTCCATATAGCCGAATAATCGTGACCACAAGCACCCAATCAATCGCCGCTGCCTGTAGCCCTGAGAGATACATTTACAAAATGCGAGGTCTTGGAATTTCCAAGTCAAGAGAATTATTCTGGTTAGAGCTCAGAAACCGAGCAGGTCCTACGCCTGCCTTGGAGCATGCTTTGGAAGAATTCTTAGCCAAATGTGATGGTTTGCCACTAGCCCTTGTTAGTGTAGCTAAATATTTGCGTGAGAAAGGAGAAAATGTACATTTACTTGAACTGGGCCCAGGAGCCTTTGACGAATTGGAAAGAGTGCTTATGCAGTGCTACGATAGCCTGCGTGGTGACGATCACAGGTCCTGTTTGCTTTATCTCAGCATATTCCCAAAGGGTCATTGCATTAGGAGGAAGAGCCTTATGAGAAGATGGGTAGCTGAGGGACTGGTTTCCGGAGATGTCACTCGCAGTGCAGAACATGTTGCGCGTGACCATTTTGGTGAGTTGGTTGACAAGAATCTCATTGAACCTGTGCTGATTGGCAGTAACTCCGTGATCAAGAGTTTCCGTGTTCATGATGTCATGCTAGATTTCCTCGTCAACAAAGCGGTCTCAAAAGACATGGTCACCCTAATTCGAGAGGATGAGCCCCTCCGCAACAAGGAAGGAGCCCATCCTGTCCGCCGATTGTCTGTTCACGGCAGCACAACCCAAGTGGAAAAATAGCAGAGGCAATTGGATTGAATCATGTCAGGTCGTTGACGATCCGCAACGGTGGCCTTTTTGAGTTCCAAGGTTGCCAGTTTCTGCGAGTCTTGGATCTTGAAGGTTGCAGGGGCATTGATGACTGGACTCTTCATTGCATATGCAAGCTGATCTTGCTCAAGTACCTGAGTTTAAGGGGTAGCGATGTGTGTCAGATCCCCAAGAAAATAAAAAATCTAGGGTGCTTACAGACACTGGATATTCGAGAGACACAGGTAAACAAACTGCCTATGGAAGTATTAGTGCTCCCAAATTTAGCTTACCTGTTTGGTCAATTTGAGCTACCTGGAGAACTAGAAGATGAGAAGAGTAGCAAGGTGGAGGCGTTCTTCTCCAAGAAAAGTGTCCTGCGGATAATATCAGGATCTGTCATGGACAGAAATGGTGGTGGTTCTGAGCTCATCCTGCTTCGCATGAGGTTTCTGGAGAAGGTTAAGATATGGTGCAAGCATTCTATTACCATCGATTCAGAAGATTTAGCTTACTCCCTCCAGAAAAGCATCTCAAAACACAATGGCCTAAAATCTCTATCAATTAATTTTGGGGATGAGTCCATAAACTTCCTCGACTCTGTATTACTAGAAGGTCCCAGCATGCTCAGCTCCATCAAGCTGCGGGGAAGATTAAGCAGACTGCCTAATTTCTTTACCTTGCTTGCTCTCTACGAGTTGCAGCTGTCCAATACAAGTTTGAGCATTGAAGATTTATCTGGCCTTCAACAGTTACCTCAGCTGGTTTATTTGAAGCTTGTTGAGGGTCGGCATGCGTTCTGGGGCGGCCGTATCGTTGTGAAAGAAGATGGATTCCCGAGCCTCTGTCCGCTGTGCTTCGACGCCCCCAAAGCTTCCGGAAGTGCATATTCATGAAGGAGGTATGAGCGCCGTCACCTCTCTTCATCTGCTCTGTCCAGAGTTTGCATCATGCAGTAAATTCAGGGGAATCCAGCACCTCAAACATCTCAACGAGGTTGTACTTCATTCGTTGAGATGTATATGCACTTCCGGAAGAAAATAGCGACGGAGCATGAAAATGGCCCAAAGGTGTACAAACACCTAATTTCGCCATAACATGGCGTGCATTGTGTGTGATACCCACGTTCATAAATTAAGCTGTCATCTGTTGAGATGTAGTGCTTGCAGCTGACCTCCTCCAGTCTATCATCAACAAAATGAGAGAGATAGGAATCCTCAATCTCCCCCTGAACTTGCAGCACATCAATGATTTCCCAAATCCAATATGTCGATGATTACTCCGATTATCATGGAAGCATCAGCTAGGCAGCTTCTTGCCCTGAAAAGTGTACTCCACTCATTTGGACAATCCACTAGGTTGAAGGTTAGTTACTCCAAATCAATGATGGTGCCAATAAATTTATCAGAACAGCAGCTGGATCACTAAGCAAGAATCTTCAACTGTGAAAAAGGAAGTCTCCCCTTTACGTACTTGGGCTTTCCCCTGGGACTGTGAAAGCCCAAAGTCATTGATTTCTCATCTCTGGTAAACAAATGTGAGAGAAGACTCATTGCCACTTACAGATTTCTTAATCAAGCAGGGAGACTCCAGCTTACTAACTCTGTAATCACTGCCATGCCCATTTAAACTGCAAATTTCAGTGCTGGACCAGATAGATAAGTGTAGAAAACATTGCCTTTGGAGAGGAGCAGATCTAGAATCAAGGAAACTAGCAAAGGCAGCCTGGCCCATGGTCTGCAGGCCAAAAATAAAGGAGGTTTAGGTGCCCTGAACTTGAGAACCCATAATGAAGCACTACTGATGAAATTGTTGCATAAATTTCTGAATAGAGAAGACCTACCTTGAGTAAGCTTAATTTGAGAAAGCTAATACCAGAATGGAAGACTCCTAGGAATGGAAGACTCCTAGGAAATTCCAACAAAGGATCCTTTTGGTGGAAAGATATAAAAAAGTTACTTGACAATTACAAAAGCATAGCCAAAGTGAATATCTTTGATGGGAAAACTTGTCTGCTATGGCAAGACCTCTGGAATGGAATGGTACTGCAATTCAGCTTCCCTGAATTCTTATCCTTCTACAAAAACAAAAACATCACTTTGGCAGAAGCAAAATCAACAGTACCCGATCGGCCTATTACAAAAAGGATAGATGTTTTAGTTCATTGCCCAGATAACCAGAGTCTGAAGTCATCTTCAAATGAAAGTAAAGTGTCATTGCTTAGACTTGTCATCATCATCCGAACCTTCATCGTCATCAGATGACTCCACTCTGTTAGGTTCTTCGCCATCACTGTTACCAGTTTTAGCTCGCTTCTCTTTCTTACGCTGCTTCTTCTTCTGCCGTTTCAGGCGCTTCTTGGCTGTCCGCTCCTCAGCTGCTTTCAGCCTCTCCTCCCTCCGCAGTTGGAACTCAGCAATCTCTTTTCTCTTCTGGTAGTCAGCATCCATTCGCGCTATCCGGTCCTGCTCTCTCCTCCTCATTTGCCGGTACTGTAAAAAGAAGGGTGCTTACAGATCAGATCATTTCTCATGCCTAAATCACTTAATCCATGATTTGCTAAAATTGGAATATGAATCTAGAATCACATTACAAAAATCAATAAACAAGATGGTTTATAATCACATGACCAAAAGTTCCATGATTTGCCAATCCCATATCCTGGTACGTAACTTAGGGGGTGGGGAAATACATATTCGATCATAAAAGCAGATGCCAACAAGACTGACATTATTCAGCATCTAAAAGAAGTTACAACATGGCACAGCGAGGAGGGGGATGACTCAATCTACAGTGAAAGGTTACTACGTAATGACTAATGAGTGCAGCAAGCGACAATTTTAGGTTCAGTTCTAAAGCAGAAAAATAATGCCAGCATGAATAATCCTGTTTTTCCTGTCTTACTAAGTAGCACTAGTTACAAAGTATGTCTGCCAAAAGACTTTTTTGCACATATTCCAATCATAAGTGCAAGTTGTTTAAGGATTCCTGTTGGTTAAGTTTTTTTTACCTGTGACCATTAATGTACAAAATAAAACACACATAGATGAGTAACATAAGATTGATGTTACTAATATCCATCAGGAAAGTGTGTTCAACTTTTCATACTATTCATTTCTTTTTGTTCGAAATATCATACTTTTAGAAATTGCTAGTTAAAGTGTCGCATTGTAGACAATGTCCATATGTATTAAACGAAGTATAGTTTAGACCATAGAAAGTACTACAAAGTTGTACTATAATACTTTAATTCAATCCAATGACACAGCATCAGTATTTTTCAACATCCCAACAGCATAAACTAACCACTGTAAGTCTTTAATGCTAAAGTATTAGCTGAAATTCTAACAACAACAACAACAACAACAACACAGCCTTTAAGTCCCAAACAAGTTGGGGTAGGCTAGAGTTGAAACCCAGCAGAAGCAATCAAGGTTCAGGCACGTGAATAGCTGTCTTCCAAGCACTCCTATCTAAGGCTAAGTCTTTGGGTATATTCCATCCTTTCAAGTCTCCTTTTATTGCCTCTACCCAAGTCAACTTCGGTATTCATCTGCCTCTCTTCACGTTACTATCCTGGTTTAGGATTCCACTACGCACCGGTATCTCTGGAGGTCTCCGTTGGACATGTCCAAACCATCTCAACCGGTGTTGCACAAGCTTTTCTTCAATTGGTGCTACCCCTAATCTATCACGTATATCATCGTTCCGAACTCGATCCCTTCTTGTATGACCGCAAATCCAACGCAACATACGCATTTCCGCGACACTTATCTGTTGAACATGTCGTCTTTTCGTATGCCAACATTCTGCACCATACAACATAGCAGGTCTAATCACCGTCCTATAAAACTTGTCTTTTAGCTTCTGTGGTACTCTTTTGTCACATAGGGCACCAGATGCTTGGCGCCACTTCATCCACCCTGCTTTCATTCTATGGCTAACATCTTCATCAATATCCCCGTCTCTCTGTAGCATTGATCCTAAATATCGAAAGGTATCCTTCCTAGGCATTACTTGACCTTCCAAACTAATATCTTCCTCCTCCCGAGTAGTAGTGCCGAAGTCACATCTCATATACTCAGTTTTAGTTCTACTGAGTCTAAAACCTTTGGACTCCAAAGTCTCCCGCCATAACTCCAGTTTCTGATTCACTCCTTGCCGGCTTTCATCAACTAGCACTACATCGTCCGCAAAAAGCATACACCAAGGGATGTCCCCTTGTATGTCCCTTGTGACCTCATCCATCACTAAGGCAAACAAATAAGGGCTCAAAGCTGATCCTTGATGTAGTCCTATTCTAATCGGGAAGTCATCCGTGTCTCCATCACTTGTTCGAACTCTAGTCACAACATTGTTGTACATGTCCTTAATGAGACCGACGTATTTCGTTGGGACTTTATGTTTATCTAAAACCCACCACATAACATTCCTTGGTATTCTATCATAAGCCTTCTCCAAGTCAATAAAAACCATGTGTAGGTCCTTCTTCTTCTCCCTATACCGCTCCATCACTTGTCTTATTAAGAAAATGACTTCTATGGTTGACCTTCCGGGCATGAAACCAAATTGGTTCATAAAGACCCACGTTATTGCTCTCAAGCGATGCTCGATAACTCTCTCCCATAGCTTCATAGTATGGCTCATCAGCTTAATTTCCCGATAATTAGTACAACTTTGAATATCCTATTTATTCTTGTAGATCGGTACCAATATACTTCTCCTCCACTCATTAGGCATCTTGTTCGATCGAAAAATATGGTTGAACAACTTGGTTAGCCATACTATAGCTATGTCCCTGAGACATCACCACACCTCGATTGGGATACCATCCGGTCCCATCGCTTTACCTCCTCTCATCCTTTTCAACGCCTCTCTAACATCAGATTCTTAGATTCTCCGTACAAAGCGCCTATTGGTGTCATGTAAAGAGTCATCCAATTGAAATGTTGTGTCTGTATTCTCACCATTGAACAATTTGTCAAAATACTCTTGCCATCGATGTCGGATCTCATTCTCCTTCACCAAGAGATACTCCCTTTCATCCTTAATGCACTTAACTTGGTTGAAGTCCATTGTCTTTCTCTCATGAACCCTAGCTATCCTATGAATGTCCTTCTCTCCTTCCTTCGTACTCAAATATTGATAAAGATCCTCGTACACTCTACCCTTTGCTACACTTATAGTTCGCTTTGCAGTCTTCTTTGCCACCTTGTACTTCTCTATGTTGTCCACACTTCTGTCATGATACAAGCGTCTATAGCATTCTTTCTTCTCCTTAATAGCCCTTTGGACTTCTTCGTTCCATCACCAAGTATCTTTAGCCTCGCCTCCACTTCCTTTGGTTACTCCACGCACTTCTAAGGCCACCTTCCGAATGTTGGTTGTCATCTTCTCCCACATGTTGTTTATGTCCTCTTCTTCCTTCCAAGAGCCCTATTTGATAACCCTTTCCCTGAATACCTCTGACGTCTCCCCTTTCAGTTTCCACCACTTTGTTCTTTCAATCTTAGCTTGTTTATCCCTACGGGCACGCACCTGAAAACGAAAGTCTGCCACCAAAAGCTTATGTTGAGAAACAACACACTCCCCTGGTATCACCTTGCAACCCAAGCATGCTCGTTTGTCCTTTCTTCTTGTGAGGACAAAGTCAATCTGGCTAGAGTATTGTCCGCTACTGAAGGTCACTAGATGAGATTCTCTCTTTCTAAAGAAAGTGTTGGCTATCATCAGGTCAAAAGCTACCGCGAAGTCCAGAACTTCCTCCCCCTCCTGATTCCTAGTACCATACCCAAAACCTCCATGAACTGCCTCGAAACCTGCGCTTGTAGTACCTACATGCCTATTAAGATCTTCTCCTATAAAAAGCTTCTCACTACTAGGTACAGCTCTAATCAGGCCATCTAAGTCTTCCCAGAACTGTCTCTTGGCACTCTCGTCGAGGCCTACTTGTGGGGCATACGCACTAATTACGTTCAAGACCATATCACCAACGACAAGCTTGACTAAGATAATTCTATCTCCTTGTCTTCTCACTCCCACCACACTATTCTTGAGGCTCTTATCAATCAAAACTTCTACTCCATTCTATTCGCAACTGTCCCTGTGTACCAAAGCTTGAAACCTGTATTGTCCACCTCCTTCGCCTTCTGACCCTTCCATTTAGTCTCTTGAACGCATAATATATTTACACGCCTTCTAGTCGCGGTATCAACTAATTCTCTTAACTTACCTGTAAGCGACCCTACATTCTAACTACCTAAACGGATCCTAATTGGTTCGACTAACTTCCTTACCCTTCGCACCCGTCGACTCAGATGTGAAGACACTTGCTCATTTTTCACTATACCCGGGCGCCGATGTAGCACGCCACTAAGGATGCGACGACCCGATCCTTGTTCACTTGACACCGTGCCCAGATCGCGACACGGCGCGTCACGGGGGTGACGACCCGGCCCTTGCTCATTTAACACCATACCCGGGTTCCGATATGGCGCGTCGCTAAGAGGGTTACACCCCAACGGTTTTCTTTCGGGTTTCATCTCCATTAGAATGGCTAAATTTAACGTTGACTCGCCACGCCTATCACAACCCTCCTCCTTTACCAGGGCTTGAGACCTGCTATGTTGAGACAACACCGCTGAATTTTGCAACAAAAGGGTTAATTAGTTTAATCAGACAATTTTCAAGGGGTGATAAATTATAACATTTCTCCATTCCTAGCAATATAATCCATCCTTTCACATGTTAATTGACAAATAAATCGCAATGTAGCTGTTATAAAACAAGAGGTGATTACTGCAACTGAAAATACCACACGAAACAGGGAATTTTTTCAACAAACCCAGATCTTAAAGGAAAGTCCCTACTGATGTATCTACACACATAGGAAGGGAGGGAAGAAGAGTACCTGGTGGAAATCACCCGAGCCAGAGCCAGCAGAGGAGCCTGATGTGTTACTGACACGCACAGGGACATTTTCCATGATGCGCCTGAGCTTCACCTCCAGGTCCTCCTCATCCTCTCGCAGTTTTACACCTCCTGAACTCTTTCCTACAGGATCCGCCACAACTAGCTCCTTCCCACTGTCGCCACTAGAAGCCTTTCCTGGTGGTGCTATAGGGACTAGCTGCTGCATGTTGCTATCACTGTTGGGAGCTGACATTGCAAGATGCAACCTGCTTGTCTTCCAAGTTGCCTGCACATGAACAAATTAATGGATATGAATGTTGGGGTTTATGGACACATTCAGATTTCAGACTTCAAGTTCATAATATGCAGACTGGAGTTTCCTAGTTCCTTTTAGGCTTAAACAAGTACCAGATGGAACACACACAAAACACAAAAATTAATTAAATGAGAGTTTGAGGTCATGCACACAAGGAGCTGAATAGAAACCTTGAAGTTCGAAATTACATGTACAAGTATAAGCAATAATTGTCACAAGCAGGTTGAACATTCACTGTTAGAAATAAATGAAAATACACTTAAGTTAGAAAAGTTTCAATGAAACTATGTAAAAAACTAATGAGCACAACGCTTAAAAATTGAAGAGAATGGACAAACAGGTGATCATAATCATATAGTGGAAACAAGCATATAATTCTTCCTTTGTTCTTGAAGAGAACAGCAAACGGCATTAAAAAAATAATGATAATCATGAAATTCTCCCAAAATTAGTGACATGAGATGTAAGAGGCGGTGGCAGGCTTGCACAGGAACATTGCACCGCCTTTCGCAAACATTTGGGCAAAAGGCATAGTATAGCATCTAAAGGTACTGTTTGAGAAACACTGAACTTACTGAACAATCAATAAGCTTGCTCGACCTAATCAAAGAACCAATAGCATTTTTAATCAAACCAACATTTTTTTGATGATGTGAAAGGAATGGGGAATTGCACCTCCCCTTGTGCCAATTTTACTCAGTTCCCTGTATACAGGCCACAATCAGTACAAATGGTGGAAAGAACAATAACTGCCTTATCTATCAGATTATATAATAGAACAATAGAACAAGATATGGCCAGCCTTTTTTTTTTTTTTGCTAGTATATTTTCTAGTCAGTCCACATAATGGCAAAAATGCAGACATGGTCATGAATTGCTGTCATGCCAACAGACGTCAATTCCATGCATCCTAAGATCAACAAAAATATGCTTACATGGCGTGTCCATGTAGAAAATTTCGAGTTTCTGCCTGTGCCATATGTAGTATCACTATCTCTGCTGGAGGAATCTATCAAATTTACACAAAAGGTCAAAGCTTCATAATGGTATTGACATCTTCAACACAAAACAGATTAATCACCAACAACTCCAATGAAGTCATCTTGCTCAGATGTGCTCCCCTCTTCATCAACCTCAGCAAACAGTGATGATGAAACCTCATACCCAGAGAGTTTCATCTCACCAATCAAATTATTTAACATCTCATACACCTCCCTTGATCTGGGATGGACCTTATCGCCAGCAAGGAAACCATGCATCTCGGATTGCACCTCAATCCAGCTACAACCAGGTTCCTTTTTCAGCCGTCCCTGCCTCATTAGCCTTCTAGTCCTTGAAACATCAACCCATTTCCCTGATTCAGCGTATACATTAGAGAGAAGAATGTAAACTGATGAATCATCTGGATCTAGCCGTAGAACATTGCTAGCAGCAGTTTCAGCCACCTCAACATCTTGACGAATCTTGCAAATGCTTAGCAGAGTCTTCCATATGACAGCATCTGCTTCAAGAGGCATGCTTCTGATAAATTTTAGGGCTTCCTGTGGGCCCTTTGAGCGTCCTAGTATATCCACCATGCAAGCAAAATGTTCCAGTTGAGGTTCCAATTTGTAGTGGCTAGTCATCAGATGGAAATACCGGCATCCATCATCTAGCAGACCAACATGGCTGCATGCCCGCAGAACTGCAACAAAAGTTGCATGGTTTGGCACAACATTTGCTTTCTGCATCCTCTCAAACATCTCTAGGGCTTCAAATCCCTGGCCATGGAGCGCATAGCCACATATCATAGCGTTCCATGATACAAAATCCAGTTTCTGAGCCTTCTCGAACATTAGCAGTGAGTCTGGCATGTTCCCACACTTGGCATACATGTCTACAAGAGTGCTAGAGATATATTCGTCTCCAAGCATTTCCTGTTTGATAATCTGACCATGGATCTGTTTCCCTAACTCAATGGTAGCCAGATTAGCACAAGTATCAAGAACAGTGGCATAAGTAAAATGGTCAGGCTTTACACCCATATCTAGCATCTCCGAGAAGAATTTTTGTGCTTCTTCACTCTGTTTGTTGAGTGAAAAACCTGATATGATAGAGTTCCATGAAACAAGTTCTTGCCCCCCAATTCTGTCATGAAGTTTCTGAGCCTCTGTGATCATGCCACATTTGCAGTACATGTCAACAACAGTGCTTGAAACAAAAGCATCTAAACCAAGTCCAGACTTGATAGCTTTGCCATGAACCATCAACCCATATTCCAAAGATTGTAGACCTGCACAAGCCTTAAGAACACTACCGTACGTGAAATCATCAGGTTCCATACCAGAGCGCAGCATTTCATTTAGATGAGCTATAGTATCCTCATAACACTCATTTTGCTCGAGAGCTGCAATAATAGCGTTCCAAGACACCGAATCTCTTTGCTCCATCTCCTGGAATACAAGGTACGCTTCTACTAATGCTTTGCACTTCCCATATAGACCCAGAATTGCATTTCTGGAACAAACATCCACATCAAAACCTGATTTAATCGCTAAGCAATGGACTTGTAACCCTTGAAAGTAGCCCTTAACCTCAGCACAAGCACTGAAAACACCTGATAAGCTAACTACATCAAAACCAATACCAGACCTGGTCATGAAGTGAAACAGTTTCATGGCCTCAGCTCCTAGCCCTGTGCGCACAAGCCCTACCATCATGGCATTGCATGTCTCCACACTATGGTTAGGCAAACCAAAGAATGCCCTTCTAGCATCAACCAAGCTATCAGCCTTCGCATACACGTCCACGATTGCTGTCCCAACAACACGGTCAGAACTAAACTTATTCTTTATGGCATGCGCATGCAACTGCCTAGCAGTGCTCAGACATGGCATTGCTGCACAGGATCTAAAGGCACTGGCATAAGCCGGCTGGCTGACCCCAAGTCCCAACCTCTGCATCTGCACAAACAACTCCAGCCCCCGCGTGTACTGCTCATTCTGAACACATCCAGCGATCGCCGCACCCCACGAGACCGAATTCCTCTCACCCATTCCATGAAAGAAGTGCAGCGCGTCTTCCAAACTCCTGCACTTGCCATACATGTCGACGAGAGCGCTACCGGTTCGGACATCCATCTCCAGCCCTGTCTTCACTGCCAGCGCATGGATCTGAACACCAAGCGCCCGGTCATCCAAGCCACCACATGCCTTGAGCAGGACAGCAAGTGTCGTCCTGTCAGGGGCGACACCACGGCGAGCCATCTCAATAGACAGGCCCACCGAGTCCCGGAACATGCTGCGCTGGCAGTAGCCCGAGAGCAGCGTGTTCCAGGACACGACGTCTGGGTCCGGCATCGCGCCGAAGAGGGACGCGGCCGTGCCGGTGTCACCTGCGTGAGCGTACGCCGTCAGCATGGTGTTCCACGAGACCGTGTCCCGGTGGGGCATTGCGTCGAACACCCCGTGGGCGTAGGCGGTGCCCCCACACCGGGCATACATCTGGAGGAGGCAGTTGGAAACAAACGTGGTGGGCATGAACCCGGACACAAGCATCCGCGCGTGCGCAGCCTGGCCCGTGGCTAGGGCCGAGCGCCCGGCGCTGGCACATAGCTGGTAGAGGTGGGAGAAGGTGGCGGTGGCGAGGAACCCCGCCTGAGCGGGCGTAGGGCGGCCGGGGAATCCCGGGCTCAGGGAGCGTGTGACGTGGCCGGTGGCGGTCATGTGTTAATGAATGCCCGGCTCTCTTGAGTTCCAGCACTACTCTCCGACACATCTTTCTATCTTTCCATTCTAGCCTCCTATATTGCAAATTGCAATGCGATTATTACTTGTTAGGAACTACTAACATTGATATTCACCGAATATTTGAAAATCGAAATTGAACAACTAGATGCGGTATTGTTCTGTATTCTGTTCTCACCTTGAACTGTGACTCTGAGCTGTGATGTATGAAGTATGCCTGGCCTCGCGGGCGTCGAACTCAGAATGGCCTTTGCAAACGACTCGCCTTTCTGCCTGGTAAATCAAATCAAAATGGGCCAGCACCTGTAAGTAAGTGGCATCGATTCAGCCTGAGCAGAAAAGGCTGCTCTCTCCCCGACCTACACCTACCGGTTCCTGCCTGCGACGAGGATGCCAAGGTCGGAGCGGAGCCTGGAGAGTGGAGAGCGCGGTGGGGGGGGGGGGGGGGGGGGGCGGGGAGCGCCGCAGAAAGAACAGCACAGCAGAAGGGGCGGCCGCGACCCTCTCGCTTCACGTGATGTCGCGGTGTCACCGACTCGCCGCCTAGCGAGAAGCGCGTAGCGGCCGTCCGCTGTCCGCCCGTGGACCGTCCGAGACTCCGATAGTCGGTCACCCAGAGGCTCGGTCCTCGGTCCTCGGACCGCGGACGCACCGAGGCCACAGCCACAGGGATCGCCGGCGCCGCCGGGGGTATGGAGCGTCGGCTCGGTGCGGCTCGCCTGCTGGCGGTGGCGGCCTGGCGGGGGAGGAAGAGTGTCTGGCAGGGCAGTGGCAGGTGGCGCGCTTCCCTGCTGGGCTGCTGGCGGTGGCGCGGCACGGTGGCCGGGGGTCGACCGGGCGGGTACGACGGCGCGGCCGCGTGGGGGCCGGCGGCGTTAGGGCGAGTCCGCGAGTGGGCGACGGCGCGGGGGTGACTGCGCGGCTGCACCTGGGGATGGATGGGGTGGGCTGGCTATGGTTCTGTGAGTAAGGATTACTACTCATGTGGGCTGGTGGGCTATATTATTTACTGGGCCTCATACATGTATTCGGTAAATTTCGGAATTTCGGTTTATACCGAGCTAAAACTCGAATTTGTCTATAAAAATTTGGGTTCCTGGGAACTAGGAACGAAGAATCGAAAACTTTGGTTTCGAATTTGTCTATAAATACACTTAACTAATAGTAGGAGCTGCAACAAAGGGCAATTGTAACTGAATATAAACCATTTACCCTAAGTCAGTCTTGTTTCAGTTTTGGTATTTTTGTTTCGGTTTTTGTATTGTTTGTTTGATCAGTTCTTGGTATTTTTTGTCCAGGGCTATGAAGATCTGTTCCTCGAAAATTTGGACCGCGCGCCCGGGGCTGCAGCACCCCAGCCGTATATAGCTTCTGCTGACCCAACGGTGAATGACATCTCAACATCTAGTGATGAGCTATGGCTCTATAAACATCCGGTGAACCCTATTTACACTGTTGTACCTAAAAAATATGATTGTACGTTTTAGTAAAATTTGACTATACTTTTAACTTGCCTAAGGGCTAGTCAAGGCCGACAAATTATGTTTTGCTTTATCATGTTGCAAGTTCGTCGTTGTTTTCTAGCATTCAAATGCTTCTCCGATTGTAACTAATTTAATGTAACTTATATCACTTTACTACAAATAGGATTAATGGAGACATAACATTTTTTTACAGATGTAGACCGGCAAAGGCACTTGCTGGAGTAGGGGCGGCTGCGCCTAATTGGTCCAACGCTTGATTGGTCTAAGAACATCCGGGTGAATCCTATTTACACTGTTGTACCTAAAAAATATGATCGTACGTTTTAGTAAAATTTGACTATCCTTTTAACTTGCCTAAGGGCTAGTCACGGCCGACAAATTATGTTTTGCTTTATCATGTTGCAAGTTGTTGGTCGTTGTTTTCTAGCATTCAAATGTTTCTCCCATTGTAACTAATTTAATGTAACTTATATCACTTTACTACAAAAAGGATTAATAGAGACATAACATTTTTTTACAGATGTAGACCGGCCAAGGCACTTGCTGGAGTAGGGGTGGCTGCGCCTAATTGGTCCAACGCTTGATTGGTCTAAGAACCTGCATGTAAATTCGTGAACCAAAGGGGTTGGGAGGAAAATTGCCTCCTCCCACCTCCCTTATAAATAGAACCCAGGGGGTATTTCGTATCGAATTCAAACTTGTCCGAAAATATGAATTTGAGCAGGTCAAATGTAGAAAACGATGCAAATATGGTATGGGATATATTGCGATCGTTTTCGTCCCTAGCTACGAACAGCAGCCCCTGTAACCGAGCATATGAATACAGAGAGAAGCTACTTTAAACTGGACGTAGGGCACCACGTGTCTTTATAATCCCTGTTTTGTTGTGTTACCCATTTCATTCCCTGTACACGAATACACTATTAGGTATTACCGGAGCTAATTTTTCAGACACCCACTCACCTAGAGACTTATTGGGCTTGGACGAAGCCACGAAGGCAAGTCCCAGAATTTCTGGTCCCTTTGAAGAACAGGAGCCGAGGGCGAAGAACACAACACCACCAGAATTTCAGGCTAGTTAGCAACCCTGGTACCAGAGGGAGCTTGCTTGGAAAATGCCACGAAAAATGTCAAAATTTTCGGGTAGCGGAATTTCCTCGTGCACTACCAGAATTTCTGGCTAATTATCTCTCGTCCGCGCAAGAGACCCCTGACCGGGAAAATAGAGCACAAAACGCTTGGAATTTCTGGGTACTAGAATTTCCAGACATCGACAAAAATTCTAGCAAACAGGCATAATGCACTCTTTTCTTTATTCTTTGAAACTTTATTTAATGCACTCTTTCTAAGTATATTGCGAAGAGGTCTTTTCTAGTGGGGCTGACATGGGCCAACCAAGGTGGCATGCAGTCACGTGCCGACTAGCTTCGACACCAAGCCGCAGGATAAAGTAGCAATTTGCATGTGACTGATGTCATAGATTTTGAAGAAACTAAAAGAATTGTAACTGCTAAACTGAGCATTCAAATTAAATTTTGATCACATCACTGTGTTTCTTACAATAAATCCTTCAAAACAAAACCCCACCACTACTACACTAAACTTAACCGAGGCAGACGTTTTTCATTATCTGAGGTGGTCAAAGACAACCGCCTCCGACAAAAGATCACGGTTAATCCGTGAATAACGGAGGCGGTTGCCTTGACCGCCTCGGTTAATCGATCAACCGAGGCAGGCTACTTACAACGCCCACCTCGGTTCATCGATAAAAAAAACAAAAAAAAATCCCGAGCCCACCGGCGAGCCCGTTCCTGAGCCCACTAGCCAGATCCAGTGACACAGGACGCCGCCGTCGCCTCCAAGACGGTCTCCTCCTTGCCTCCTCGCCGGATCCGCTGGCCCTGGCCCCCTGCTCCGGGTCTGCCCGCCGCTCCCCTCCACGCTGGCCTCCTCCTCGCCTCCACGCCGGATCTAGGCGCGGTCGGAGCAGGGGGCGGCCCGCTCGCTAGATCTGGGTGCTGCTCGCCAGAGAAGAGGGAGAGGGAGGGGCACTGCTCGTCGGCTCTAGATCTTCAAAGAGAGAGGGAAGCATGAGGAGAGGAAGAGAGGAAGAGAGAGGGAGATGGGAGTAGACCTACCTCCACGTGCCGCCTAGCCTCGCGCCATCGCGAGCTTCGTGATCGCCTGGCCCCGTGCCCCCGCGCCGCTCGGGTGTGCCACCACCGCGTGGCCCCGCACCGCCCACCGCCATCGGAGAGAGGGAGGGAGATGGAGAGGAGAGGGAGAGGGAGGAGCTGCCCTGCGCCACCGGCTGTGGAGGAGAGGCAGGAGGAGCAACGGTATTTTTTGCCACTAGAGAACAGACTTTAGAACGATGTCACAATTTGGCATTAGCCTCGGCATTTTTTGCCCTTTAGTCCCGGTTCGTAATACCAACCGGGACTAAAGATCCCTGCCCGTCCGCGTGGCAGGGATCTTTAGTCCCGGCTGATATTACCAACCGGGACTAAAGGTAAACATTTAGTCCCGGTTGTTAATACCAGCCGGGACTAAAGGTTTTAGTTCCGATTTGGGTGATACCTCGGAAATAAATATTAATCTTTAGTCCCAGTTTGGCCACCTAACCGGGACTAATTATGCTGGCCTATACATCGGCTCATTTCTTTCTCCCCGAGCCCGAGCCATTCCATTCAAACTCACTGCCTCTGTTCTTCAGCTTGCTGTTGTTCTTGCTCTCTCCCCCTCCATTGGTGTTGCTCTTCGATTTTGGAGGTAACAAACTTAATCCTCTTATGTTTTATCAGTAGCTTATCTCATTTTGCGATGTAGATGCATGTGTAACTTTATATGTTGGACTTTATTATGATTTTATATGTCATTTTTAGCTCAAAATCACATGATGATTTGCATATATGTTTAGATAAACAAAAGTTAAGTTAGTTCATCAAAATCACGCCTCGCTCGTCCTCGCTAGAGCACGCGCCATCCTCGTCCCCGGCGGCTTACGTGATCTTAGAATTAATTTTTCCATGAAATAAAAATTTTAGAAAATAGTTAGAAAATTGTAGAAAATCCGTACTAGTTGAACTTGCGGATCGTGATCATCTCGGCGAGCATTTTCTCTGCCGAGCAGTAACGGACGTCAAGGAGGAGCTTTGATTCTATGAGGGAGAGCGGCAACGGTCGTGGAAGACCGTGTTCCCTTCCTCGTAGAATCAGAGCTCTTCCTTGGCCAAGTACGGTGTCGTTCGGTGGAGAAATGCTCGCCGAGATGATCACGTAAGCAAGGTCAACTAGTACGGATGATTATTTATTGAAACATGTTTTTGAGCTATGTGATTTCTATGTCATTTTTAGCTCAAAATCACATGATGATTTACAATAGTAAAATCACTTGATAGTTTGGTATTTTACTATTATACATAGTACATATTTCATAGTTTAGTTAGATAAATAAATAATTTTAGTTTTGTTTAAATATATTATTTTAGAAAA